CATGTATGGCCGCCATCCTTTCATGGAAACACGTACAACAGTGTTTTCCAACTGAACACCGTAACTTGCAATGAACACAGCGATGGGTCCAGTCCAATGGCCACCAAGAAATTATGCCAAACATAGATAGCTTTCACATTGGCAAACAAGAGATCCAACATTTCATATATTTGCACCACTTCATTTGTCAAAACCCAGGTTGTTGGGAAATAACACGAAAAGACTGTGAAACTTTTGTAACCACATCGAAAGTTCAGGAAACAATCCCGATCGCTGACGGCATGATTTCGAAATTTTTGGCAGCAAACTCTTCGACAAACAAATTCCAACACCGCTGTGGCCACTACCCCCTGCCAAGGACAATCTATGCCCACCAGGTGTCGCAACAAGTTCATCGCTTTCGTCCCGCCAAGTTTCAGTCAAAAACCTGATGTCGAGCTCAACATTGTCAATTTCAGCTATGAAATCCTCAAACCGTTCACTGCCACAAGTTCCTGATTCCTGCCCCACATCACTCGTCGGATGGTTGTCCAGCCTTTTTATGACCAATCCCTACTCCAAATCATCCATGAACGCATCCATGGCTTCACGCACCTCCTCCTTCACCAAATCGTCACGCGACCACTCCACCACACACCCGTCACTGAAAGCAGCCACTTGCACAAATTTTCCATCCATGCGGGCACTGACCTTGAAAAACTTTTGGAAGGAAACCACCTAACTCAATGACACATTTCTTCAGTTTGCTTGCGGCTTTGCACCGCGTCCTTTCAGCCTTCGATCGGTTTTTTCTGACGCCCAAAGATTGTGATCACGCATGGTGACATTGTGTTCCTGTCCCCGAATGAACTTCATGGCTTGCATTGGCCTGGCAAAATGAACAAACCCAATCGGGGGGTCAGAAGCAATGACATGCAGTTCTTGGAATCCGTGCGCGTGTTTCATGAGATCTGCCAACATGTTTTTTGCTTCTTCCATCGATTTGTTTTCGAACCCACCGACGACCACCATACATTTATCGACCGGTTCAGCACCAGCTTGCATCACCCGCTCTTTCAAGAATGTTTTCTCAACCTTCTCCAAGGGTCCAAGCGTTTCGCCAGCTCTTTATGACTAGGCATGTTTTCAAACTGCGTCACGGTGTTCAAGTTGCTGTCTCTTTGTTTTCTCGTCATACAGATCCTCACGAAGGTCCTCCACAAGAAGGCTGATGTTAGACGTGATCCTGTCCTCCATGTTCTCCGTTGTTCTGGAAAGGCTGGTTGTGACACCTGACCACGGGGAGCAACTTTGGAACGAGCTGCAGCCTGTGCCCTCTGTCGCACCCCTCTTCCGGATACGGGTTCTATATGAAACCCGTGACGTGTGAATTTTGAGTCTTGTACGAGACGCTCGTTTTCGAGACGCGGAACTGGCTTATTGGTAGAAAGGGAATACGGGAAGCAGCTTCTGGGAACCGTGGCCTCACAACTGGCGACTTGGTAGTGCAAATGTTTTGCGGGAAACTTTTGAAACTGTCCTGGGCCCCTTACCCGGCACCGGCAGAAGCATCCGCGCCAACCGACCCGCACCGCCCAGCCCCCGACCTACCAGCCCACCAGTTGTTGACCAACTTTCGCCGCGCGCGCAAAGGGACAGCTCTTGGGCCTGCCGGCCCTACACCAGAAGTGCTACGCATTGCTACGCTTGGTCTCGGATGAAGAGGACATAACGCAAGCAATCCTCACGGTCGCAACCAAACTCGCCCACACCGAAATCCCAGCAGAGGTCAGCCGTGCCTTTGGCCTCGGACGCTTTGTCACGGCAGGGTCTGCGGGATCGTGGTCGGTGATTTGTTCAGGCGGTTAGTCGCCAGATGCCTGGCCCAAACCTTAGAAGAACCCATTGCCACAGCATGCCGCCTCCATCAATTCGCCCTTTCCACCGGGGCTGGGGCAGAAGCAGTCGCCCACAGCATCACAGGAGCAGTCGAGGCCAACCCCACACTCACTGTCCTCCCCATAAACGGTGTCGGAGCCTATGGCTCCACCTACAGACACAGCACGCGCGCCGCCTTGGCTGAAGTGCCCGGGACAAACTGGTGTTCGCCATTCATGAGTATGTTTTTTTCCCAATCCTTCAACTTATGTTTGGCATGACCAGCACGGCCAACCACACACCATTCACCATCACACTGGCTGAAGGGGGTGGACAAGGAGATCCTCTCATGCCTGCCTTGTTTTCCTTGGGCCACCGGGCAGCCTTGCAAGATGTGCAGCAATCCCTTCACGAGGGCGAGCAGTTGTTCGTTTTCCTCGAAGACGTCTATCCTTGTCTCCCCAGACCGGGTCCGCCCAGCGTATGACATGCTTGCGCACCACGTGTCCCGATCTGCACACATCGCCCTCAACGAGTCATCCATGATCATGCGCCCAAATACTCGCTGGACCGGGGATGGCAACAACCAGCCACCCAAGCATGCCACAATGCACCGAAGTCCTCAATTCCCTGGACCCCGCCAGCCAAGCCCTGTTCACCACCAGCCCATACAGTCACAACACAACATACCCCCCTCACTTGTTTTGCTTCCTGCTCCTCCGCCGTTTGCGGCCTCCTCCCCTTGACCGCCCGCCAGTGCCGGTGCCGTCGCACTCTTCACCCCTTCGGCGACCACCGGGCTGCGTAGCCATAAGCGAGGCAGAGGCGTCCCCTTAGAGCGCGCGAAAGCCACAATCTGCAGAGAAGCCGGGGCCAGGGTCACCACCCACACCCGAGTCGCCGACCTCAACATAGACCTGCCCCATCGCCACGATGAGCGCAGAATCGAGGTCATCGCCAATGGCTTGAACTTTTGGGGCGGCGCCCAGTTAGCCATCGACACAACATTAGTCTCTCCACTCACGTGGGATGGGCAACCCCGGACACATGCAGGCACCACCCGGGAACCGCTACATATCCCGAACTGCTGGTGTCCCGTCGCTGCAAACTCGTCGTGCTGGCAACTTCATTCGGCCGTTGGCCACGTCCAAGGCCCGACAGGCCCCTGCCATCCTACAGCAAGCCATCCAAACAGCTTTGGTCTCCCGGTGGTCAGGTCCTCAGCCACGCAGCCAGCCAGACGTTTGCAGTGTGCAGCCAACCTCAACGAGGAATTGTCCCCCCCCACCACAACATCGGTTCCAACCTCTCTCCCATCAGCCAACTCCTTGCAGAAACACCGCTGGCACCCCCCCTTTCCAGCCGCCTCCCCCCATAACCTTGGACTTTACACATCTGGAGACTGGCCAGTGTAAAAACAGCCTGCCCCAGCACATCTGGCGACGGGCCTGTATAAAACCGTCCGGATGTGGCCAACGCGTAGGGCACAAGTAGTGCAGGATGTGGCCAAATTACGTCTGTGATGCCGCACTTGGTGTCACACGGTTGTATCTCGGTTGTGGCACACCGTGTGGCGACATGACGTGTGCATTGTCGTTGCCCCATGCGGCCCTGCCCTGCCTTGCATGAACCCGTGCCACTGGGGGAACAGACAGTGCTGGTGTATACGCGACGTCTTGTTGGGGAGGGGGATGGTTGGCAGTGCGCATCAGGTCCTCATGAGTGTCTCCTACAAGGGTGTTCCAAAAGTGTCCCGCAAGAGTGTTTGACAAGAGTTTCCCACAGGAGTGTCGTACAAGAATGTCCCGCACAAGTGTCCTTGGCAAGGGCGTCTTACAAAAGCATCCCATTCGAGCACGGTGCAATGTTAAAGGGTTTTGCGTTTGGGCTTGGGAGCGCTGGAAAAAGGGCTTTGTTGTGTAGCAACGCGTGCCTTCCCCCTTGGCCTATGGAAGGCTGCAAATTTCTCAAGGCGAGTGTTAGGAAACGGGAAAAGGGAAAATCGGGAGTTGTCCAAGTAAGAAAGGGCCAGTGGCCATCAATAAAGCAACAAGAACAGGATCAAACAATGTCGGTCCCTGGTCCATTCGTGCCCTGCCTTTGGTTCCCTGCTCGTTCGTCCCGTGTCCCCAAAAAATTGGTCCCCTTGTTCATGTGGTGCCCTAGTCCATTGGCCTCCTGGCCCTTTGACGGTGATCACCAAAAAAGGGTGTTCAAAGATACATATATGCCCACGGGTGAACAATGAAAGGAAAAGGAAACTAAACAAACACAACCGCGACCAAAGGACTATGAAATGATGTTTGCACATAAAGAAGTAGGCGAAGGTGTGCAAAATTCAGTGTGGAGATGCGATGGGGTGACCTTGAAAAGGTCGATCGTGGCCGACCCTGTGCATGGGCCCAAGCAGTGCAAATTTCATGGCGCCGGAGCAAGGTTGCAAACGAAACAAACCACAACACTTTGAAGGCATCACAAAACACACTACCATCGAAAACTAGCCACCCGTGAGGGGCTCATCCACCACAGGGCAATGAAAGGATGCTTGGAACCGCTTGCAACACAAAATGAAAAAGACTTAGGAGGGTGCATGCAATCTCTTGTGTGCGCGATGGGTGCCCGCACGACCTTGAAAAGATCTGTCGTGGTAGGCCCAGCGTATTCGCAAAAGTAAAATTTTGTCGCGCTGGGTTGGGGGAGGGCGCACGGCATCCCCCCGAAGCGCGCCAAACATCAAAAGCCATCAGGCTCAAAAGGTATTATAAAAATAGATGCCCATCGAAAACTACACACCCCATTGCCTCATCAATGAAGGAAACTCAGAAAGTGACGCCAAGACCAAGGCAACCGGACAGCGCTTTGTTTTGCACACCTCGTGATTTTGACATAGATTGACAATAACACGGGACCCGAAGATACTTTATTAATGCGGTACTTGTTTTTTTAAATAATCCCTCACCCAAATGGGTTCTTGTCATCGCGCGCTTCCCCTCCAGTTGTTCCTTCGGCCGACAGATGGACAAATACTTTGCCACACCAAACATTAACTCGAGAAACTTCTTGTGGACTGGCCTGACGGACTGGCAGATGTGGCCTGGAACGCTTCAAAGGTTCACCCACTCCCATATGCCGTTGGGGCCGTCAGGAAATGTTTTATTATCAAGGGCGCACTTGACGTCCCAAAGGCTGTAGTGTTGGTTTTGTGAAGTCGCCTGCCATGGTCGGGTCCTTGGATGATTATGGCGCACGCCGTGATGCGGAGAATGCTTGGCCCAATTGGCCAAGGTGCTGGAAGCCCTTGGGGCAGCTGTTTCTGGGGCTGTGGCCCTGGGGACTAGCAATTGGGATATGTGGGGGATGACCGGGGGCTTTCCCGGCCAATTTCTTCCATTGCATTGTTATTTTCAGACTTGCTTTCATCAAGTGGATTTTTACGCACCCACGGCAGGTCTTGCTACTTCGGGACGTGGTGCCCAGGTAGATCAAGCTTTTCAAAGGAGCTTGTGTGCTTTACTTGCTTCATTCAGTGTTCGTGAGTTTTTGAACCCCTTCGATTGTCACAGGAAACACGACCGAATTGACTACAAGGCAAGTGCAAGGTTATAAATTCTTTTTGATGGCATGATTCTTTTTTTGGGAGTTGTTCTCGCAGGTCACACGGCAAGGCCTTCACCGAGATGACATCTCAGATCTCATTCAGTTGACCACTGGCCGGGCCTCTGTGTTTTTTTGAATGTAGGCATGGCATAGTGGCAAGCATTCCAATAGCAGGTCGGATGGATATGCCGAAGGCTTAACTATATTTTTGAGTGGGCGAACCTGTTCATTGCCTCCAGCGGCTGCGAAACAGTTTGCACTGTAGGTACAACTTGGTGGGTGCTCTGTTGCTGACCTTCGCGCTGCGGTGGATCACCAGCAGTGCCTTTGATATTTTCACATGCACTCCATGAAGTGTCCGTCAGCATTCTAATGTGAATTACTTCTTGTGTCGGCCTGGGCAGGCGATTTGGTCGTCGTTCCAGACTTTCCTCATTGGCCGGTTTGGTATTCGACTGTATTTGTCATCGCTTGCTTCTCTTCAGCAACCTGACGGCAAGATGGGGCCACATTCTAACGTGAACACATCAAGTGACAGGGCCAAGCTACACATGCCATGTTGAGCAACATGGCCACACAGAGTGCCGCTGTTTAGCCAACGGAAGGTTGGCTATTTGATTTTCTCCCTGTGGTTTGCCATGCACTGTTCCATAACTGCACAGGACGGATGGTTCCATACAAGTTGATGTTCACTTCAATGGTTTGGCAACATTCGCAAACCTGTGAAAGATCTGGCGGGAGGCCCTCGGCACGCGCATGCGTCTCAACTTCACAAGGCTTGGAAACAGATTGTCGTGTGATGGAAGCGCTCCTGAGCCTTGTCATTTTCAGAGTTCTAAACTACATATTCAGTCCATAGTCCATTACGGGAAATGGATCCCGTCCGTCACCGCAGCTGTTTAACAAAAATGGCCAAACACAGAAGAGCTGCACTTGCAAGCCTAGTCTTGTGCCTGGGCCTTTTGAAGCCTTTGGCTTTTTGCGCAGCGGAGCTGGCGAATGAAGGTAGTTCCCAATGAAAGACTTTTTGTGAGTCAGCCTGACCCAAGGTGGGTTGGAAATGGTCCGAACGACAACACGGCTAGCTCTGGACCAACAGCAACTGGTTGAAATCTAGATTCCACTTCAATTTTGCCGAATACAGCCACGGGCCGGGCAGCTTTGGTGTGCTGAGGGTCATGAATGATGATCTGGTTCAGCCAGAAAGATGCTTTGGAGCACACGGCCACCGGGACATGGAAATTCTAACCTTCATCATCCACGGGCAATTGACCCACAAGGACTCCACAGGAATAGAGGAGACTTTGGGCCGAGGTGGCTTGCAGTATATGACTGCAGGCACCGGCGTGCTTCATTCCGAACAGAATCTGCACCCTTTTGAGCCTTTGCGCTTCATCCAGTTTTGGGTGTTGCCTAGAGAGAGGGGACTAACGCCTCGATACGGCTCGATGCCTGGTGACGCTGTCGCAGAGGCCGCTCGCTTCAATCAGTGGAGTCATGTGGTCTCGGATGTGCTTGCGCAAGCGAATACGCCGGTGAAAATTCACCAGGACTTTGGGCCAAGCATTTGAGTGAGGGAACTATGAATATGTGAGGGTTTGTTGGTTAAAATCGTTTGTGAGATGCGATTGTTTGGCCAAACAATCCAGGATTGCAATGTGTACCTGTTGGACCTGACACATCAAGCCACAGCGCAGCTAATGATTGATACAGGTCGACAAGGCTATTTGCTCTGCGTGGAGGGCAGTGCGAAGTTGCAAGATGCCGACGGACAGGTACGTGGGATGCGGCAGCATGATGCTGCAGAGTTGAAGGGCCCTCTATTTCTGGATGCCAAAGCAGATGTTGGTGGAGCATTGCTGTTGTTACTTGAGATGGGGCATACTTCGGATGAGCGGAGTGATTTGTAGAAGGTTGGTGGGTATCGAGTTGTGGAACCGCGAGTCATAATTTTGATTTGGCATGGGGTTCCTGGAGAGATGATGGGCCCCAGCGCCGAAAAGAGAGACCTTTCGCATCCTTTCGCCGCTCTTGTACAGGCAAACCGGAGAAAGGTAGCCTCAACTTGTGCACGTTTTTGTCCATAGTGTCGCAGTCCATAGAGTCGAAACTCCAAAGTCTGGATTTTCTCACGTAATTGCCACAGCGGCAGCACACGCTCAAAACAGGGCTTGCAAAATGAGTGAGAAGAAAGAGCAGATGGCTGTCGGCAAGGGGAACTAGATGCAATAGGGCGCTGGAGTCTGGTTGAACTCTAGAGTCTTGAGACGCATTCGTTTGGAGGTTGTCTGTGCCGGACAATTCTACGATCTCTAAGCTGAAGGTCCCATTCTTCATTCCTGGAGGAGTCTGACCCTCAAGTAGCGTTTCGAGATCCAAACAGGCACAGGTAGCGCCCCGGCTGAGGCATTAGAAAAGGTTCAGAAGACCGTGTTCGATGCCGACTCGCCACAGTTGCTGGAACATGCAGACTTGACACCACATTCAAGACCATTTGCACGGTTGTCCTTGCTAAACCAAGCGAGCATCTTGGTGGAGGGAGGGTTCCCGAGTTTTTTTGGGCCAGGGGTCGCTGGATGGCGTACAGCTTCGCAAGGAGCAATCACATGCAACCAACGAGTTATCCCAAAGCTCTCTTGCAGAGGTGTTGTCCGCTTAAAGTGTTGCTTGATCCTGCAATCAAGTTGCTGAAGGGGAGAGGGAGAGGCAGTCAAAACCCATATTGTTTGAACATGTCGAGCAGTAGTTGAACGAAGAGAAGAGGGAGAGGGAGAGAGAGGGAGAGAGCCAGGAGCTGGTGGCTGATTTGGAGCGTGGACATGAGGCGTTGGCGTGTTGACTGTCTTGCCTTTTCAATTCGTTTCTTTTTTTTGTGTTGGTTCAATTTTTGGACGGGGCAGGCTTGCACTGTTGTAGCAATGCCAACGCACGTGAGTGCATAGCTGTTCTGTTGGAGAGTTGAGCAGATGCACCGAGATCCCATTGACACCGAGCTGTCAGGTGTCTGCTATTGACGATGACCTCTCCACCGCCTCTGCAATCTCATCTCATCGGTCATTGCCAGCCTATGTGTCCCGCCCCTCGGAGTGGCGAGACCACAACGACAAGGAGCTGATTCCAACTGGGTCGGCACGGCACGTGTGTTTTGCCATCTCACATTCAGCTTTGTGGGTCATATGAGTCCTGTCAAGGGCCGAACCGTTTGGTGCGTCCCATGGGTCCCACGGCAGAACGACGACGACAAAGACTTTGAGAAGCATCTCCGGCGCTGGATTCGCTTGCGTGGGCACTGGTTAGGCTATGATGCCTACGCTCGTGCCTGCATGGTGGACGCTTGACGGGAACGCTTCGATGTGGTTGTGTATATATATATACATATGATGTGTGTGTGTATATATAAAGCGCGTTTTGTCATGATTGAGGACGGACTGACTTTTAAACATCACAACGTGCTTCCCTTCCTCAAAGGTGGGCATGAACCAGATGCTCCAAGCATTGACCTACCACGTCGTCTGGGGCTTGACCATTCGTGTCAGTTTGCGGATGCCTCACTGTGCCTTTCCTCAGGTTGCAGTTTGCTGGAAAGTTTCGGCCATCACTGCTTTTGCTTGCTTAGCGTTGGCAAAGCTGCTGACAGCACATGCCCCAGGATTCCAATCTCCATCCACTCCACCATTGATTTTTGTCGGCTTTTGAGATTTGAGAATTGTCGCCTCTGCAACGCTGAGTTGTGTGTGCTCCGGATTGATGTGAACTGTGCGAAGCCTTACACTTGCCTGGGTTACTTGGCATGAAATGCAGTGCAGTTTGGGAGTGGGCCCAGTAAGATAGACTTGACAACTGGCCTTTAGGCTTCAGGGATGGAACACATTTGGTCAATGATGTGAGATTGGGGTTCGTGTACGCCACTTGAGGCTATTGTCTTCTTTTGACGCCACTTGGCAGTGACTTACAACAACGCGCGCCAGTTGACATGGAAGTTGATGCCCTTAAAGCCTTAAAGCCTGGCGTGCCTTCAAACACAGATATATTTAGATACACTTGAACCACTGTAGGCTGGAAGTGGCCCCTCCCTTCTGTGCAACGACGCTTGACTGCGCTAACCAATTACAGCATGAGCTGAACATTCCTTGTGCAGAGAGGATCCTTCTCGTGATTTACACGCCTGGGGTGGATTGGGATGATTGGATTGAAGGAGCCATGTCGGAGGCATGTTGGGCATGTGCGATACATTGTCAATCATCTGTTGTACCAGACTTTGGGTCAGGAGCTTTGGCATTTCCGATCTTCCTCATGCATTGCCTGTGGACGCTGTACCTGCAGCAACCTCACCTTGATTGTGCCGATGTCTTTTTTTGTGTCTTGCCATCAGGGCGTCGCAGCTATCTCCAGCGGATGAGCCTGTATTCAAAGGTGCAGGACTGGGGTGAGATGTCCATATACATATTTGATTATTTGCAGTATATATACATATACACATCTCTCTCGCTCTATATGTGCAATGATTTCATCAAATATTTAGTTTCCACTGCTGGCGCATGTTGGCCCGTTCTGTCGTTCTCGTTTTGCGCAGACCCCAATCATCACTGCTCATCGGACGAGGGGACAAGTGACGAGAGCATGGACGATGATCTCGAAAGGTGCACTCGGCCTGGAAGCCTTCCTGATTGTTGGTACTAGCTGCTGGCCTGCCAGGCACCACGAGATGATAAAGAGGGGCTCATTCGGTTTGGGGAATTTGCCCAGGCGGCCCGAGGCTTTCTGAGGAGTCCTTTGCGAAAACTCACACCTAGCCCTGACGAGTTCAAGAGTTGCATCACCAAGGCTTCAGGGAGCTAGATGGCTTGATATCATCAGGCTGCTAGCACGAGTGGTGCAGACAATTCCTTGCCCAGCAGCCTAAGCAGCAAATCATGCTTTGTTCAGACTGGAGCAGCCTGTACCTCGAGACGAGCTGGAGGAGGAGTGGATAGGGGTCGATCCACTTCCAGGCCAGCCCTACTCGTACCATCACAAAGAGATGCATTCATGCGGGTAGTTTGCTCTTAAAAGTCGATTACAGCCGAGGTCCGTCGAACTTGCCATAGTTCTTTTTGAGCGGGAGAGTGCTGATGACAACATTGCACTTGCCCGGATTGGTGATGGGGAGTACGTAATACATGATCGCTTTTCATTTCCCTGCATGTGTGGAGGGACGGGTTTTGCATGTGCATCGCACCAGGTCTTTCACTGAATGAATTAGGATAATCAAGATTATATATGTATCTTCAATCCAGGCTAGTTTGGGAACTGATGGATCCATATAGATCGTTTGCATCCTGTAGCATTTGGTAGATGGCAACCATTGTGATGCGACGTTGGAAGGAGATGTGACGTGACCTACTTAAATCATATTAGCCTGGTCACCATCATCGGAAGCTTCGATCAGAAAGTTTCAAGCAACGGGGTTTCAAACGGTACAGGCAGGAGGGTGTCTACGCGCGCTGTAATTGCATCAGGTGTGCAGCGGTAGATTTGGGCTTGCAGGTGAACTGGGAATTGCAATGCGGGCTTGGATTCTGGGTGATCTGCCAGAGACAGGTTTCGATTTGCACTTCACTAACGCACTCCGTCAAATCACACCACTTCACTACACAACAAACCACCGCACACACACACACACACCGACTGCTTCACCATCATAAAACCTTGGCCAGCGCTTGCCGAGTCACATTCTGAAGTTTGAGGTGACACGGCTCAAGTCTGAACGAATATTACGGTTCATTATTTGCTCCCCTCCAACTTCATTGATCAGGCAGGTCCGGCACAAAGAGTCCTCTAACAAAGATGCATGTATAATCTCAAAGCAATGCTGAATCACCAGAACCACTCAGTGGATGCGGGGCGGCAAGGCTTACACACATTATACATGAATCCTGCGAAGGGCAGAACAGTTATATAAATGCGCATCGGATCGAGCATGTTGTCAGTCTGAGAGGCCAAATTACTTTGCGCTTTACATTGACCTTGGCTGGGATTTGGGTGTGCGCAACTGGGCTTGAGTGGTGGCTTCACGGCGCATGTTACACTGTCTACAAGAATCCGTCAGATGTGCGTGAGTGTAGCAGTATGAGTTCCAAGGCCGGGTTGGCACATATGGCTGGGACTGCGACTGGCAACTTGCCTACACACTGTGCAGAAGCTGTATATGAATCAGGAAAGCGAGCCGATAGGCTAGGCGAGAGTTGTTTTCGATACCGCCACCATTTAGCAAAAAGGAGTGGCAAAGACTGTCAAACAGTTTTGATTTTGGGGTTTTCGAGATGTTGATGAGTTTGATAGATACATTGCATCATTTGCCTTTTGAGTGCATTTGTAGGTTGATGGATGGCTAGCTGGATAGGTGGGTGATAGCAAGACAGAGAGAGAAGCTGAAGAGATAGAAAGATAGAGATATGGAGAGATATGGCGATTGCTAAGTAGATGTAGCTAGATGTCAAAAGGTGATACAGTGAGTAGATTTTAGATAGATGTGTGCAGAGTGGAGTTGGACGAGTGGGTGGTTTGCGTCGTCTCCTCCTTTCAGGTTTGCGAGAATGAATTCGCTCGGTTTTTGGTGATTCCCAGGCTGGGACCAGGCCGTGGTCATCAATTGCGATGAAAACAACTGCACAGGCTTGGCCTTGAACATGCAATTGCTTGATATGTGCTTGGCACAGCTTTTTGGTTGGAACGGAATCCAGGTCCTGGCAATACGCCAGTGGTTTGGCCACATGCAAGACCAAGACCACACCACAGGATAAAAGCCAGACGGCTACGGTGTGAGCCTTTGAGGTTCAAGATTGAACACTTTCCGACGATGTTGGCTGGATTTGTGCTTTCGTTTCAGTTTGGTCAGCCAGGTCTGTTGCGAGAAGGGTGCTCCAGTCTGAGTGGCCAGCACCCGCGAGTCTTTTTCAGGCCGCCTGCTGGTACCGGGTTGTCCTTCCAGCTGATCCCAGAAACAGCTGGAGTAAGCAAGAACAGTTTAAGCTCTGGAGGTCAACTCTTTGCACTGCGGGAGGAATGCGTGGCTGGTTTGCATACTTATGCTGGCAAGACGCATGGGACCAAATCAATTGACCAATCCGGACCAATCCCATATTTTGATATGGTTTCGAGCCAGAAAGGCTTGGCGACAGAATTGATGGTAGATAGGGCATTTTCAAGGCATGCCCCGACGATGTTCCTGTTGCTTGGGGTTCCAAGGAGCGAATTCCAGCTGTTTGTCCACAACGGCTTTGACTTTTTTGGCGCCAATCGCGTGGCTGATGAGCTAGTGGGATTTTTCAGGCTAGACTCAGTTCAAGTTCATCAGAGCAAGCCTTACTAGAAATTTTCATCAGAGCATGGAGCATGCCTAAGCTGAGATTTGATTGCTTAAAAGAGCTTGCTTTTCCTTCAGGTTGGGCATTCCAGACGAGAGGTCGCTCGTGCCACCTGACACCAGTTATACACGGTTTCCTTCTTTGTGCTTGTCGGCATGATCCTGACTTGCAAGTTGCTAGGTTTTGTACCGCTGACTGCTTTTCCCTCATCGCCGAAGAAAATAGTTCTTGGAGCACTGGGCCCAATTAGATGACCATAACATTTGTGATGCATTTGGGCCGAACTTTTTGCTTGCATGGATGTGCAAGGCTTGAGGCTTTTGAACAAAGCAGCGGAGCCGCTGACGCTTGGACCCTGCACGAGCCCAGTTGTGGTTGCCACAGATGACTTCTTGTGGGATCATATTGACACCTATGCACACACACACATAATATGGTTTCTCCATTTTTTCCACGAATGCTTGAAGCCTTGAACATCAAAGTGTTGGTGTGACTCAGGAACCCTGGAATTTTTGTGCGGAACGTGCCAGCCTTGGCGATCTTGCTCGCCCGATGGGTCTCAGCTCACCATTCTCCAGAAACCATGTCGACTTGCAACATGCAAGGCTTTAGCGGCGATTCCACTTAGACTCTTACGATGTCATGTGCTTTTGCTTCTTCCTATTGTGGCAAGCGAGCAGGGACATTTTAGTAGTTGCAGTCTGCACTACAACCTCAGCCAATAAACAGCTTTTGAGTAGTTTGGGGCAAAACAGACTCTCAGGTGATTGTTCCGCCCACGTGGCGGCGTATCTCGGCAGCCTGGCAAGGACTCGATGTAGTGCTGGCAGGACCCACGGGTGACTATTGAGCTGAGTTCGGTCGCTTGAAAAGCTAGAGAAATCATAAGGTAGACATTTGGATGATAAACCTTCCTGTGCACCTCAAGGATGGGATGGAAGCGGGATTGTCACAGCGAGGCTGCAACAGGAGATACTTTTGGGCCCGCAACGAGACGACAAAAGATTTGAGATGACTCCTTTTGGCGATTGCTACTTTTTTGTGGGGGGCAAATCTGTGCAATAGCAAGCCGTGCATGATGGCTGGGCAGTTGCAAAGCACCTTTGGCTTTAGTGAGGACCGGCTTTCGGGAGCTTGGCATCTGGAGCAAAGATTCAAGGCCGGGACATGGTGTTGCTCTAGGAAAGTCTGGCCCGGCTTAGGGCCGTTCTTTTTTCTTCCCAAACTTGCTAAGAGCGTTTGCAGCGATTGGCTCACTGCAGGTGCAACCTGGTGCAGGCTCCTGTTTCCGGTAAATGTTGCCTAGCAGCCTAGCAAGTAAATTGAAGAAGGGCTTGCTGACAATGCCTCGGTGGCTATGTTGCAGTCCACCGGTTACGGGTTTTGGTGTTGATTGACCGGAGCTTCAGAACAGCTATGGCAGGCCTTTGCTATGCAAGCGCAAGAACTTGTAAGCGACACGCTGCAGAAACTTATGCAGATGTGCAAGCTTTACAGATTGGCATAGAAGGCGGGATGCAAGCTTCGACTGGTGTTAACCATTCTGTGATTCTGTGTTTGATTCATTCTGTTTTCTCGGAGGTCAAACCCTCGCGGTGCTTCATAGCCGCTTGGCTAGCACACAAATCCAATGCCTCACAACTCGTGCTATGGTGCTGGTCAAGCATGTTGTGGAAGTAGGCCAACTGCGAGATTGATTGAATCAGCCGCGATGAAAGGTGGCAACCGCCTTGATTTCTGGGATTTAATAGATGGCGCCTTCTTGGAACAGCTCGATCTTGGCGTTGCTCACAGGCTTGTTTAGAGTTCTCAGCAGGCTTAGCATGCCACGTTCCAACACACGTCTCTCCTTAAGATGTCACTCGCTCTGCTAGGGCAATGTGCCATGATGATCTAGAGCTGCATTTGGCCCGGCAGACGCCCGGGGGTCCGGTTGTGGAGGTGCTACCATTGGCCTGGAGCCCCAGTTTAGGGCAACTGGTGAAGGCATCCGACATGCTGGACACAACCTATTAGGATGTTTGGATTCTTGTAGCTGGCTCGCAGGTCATGAAAGACACGCACCAGATTTTCCAGCGACTGCCCAGACACACGGGAGTCACCACCAAGAGCCCCGCAGAGTGTGAGGATATCCCAGAATCGGTGAGGTGCAAAAATGCTCTAGAATTGGCCTAGAATGGTTTTGCCATCTTATGGCGCTTCAAGCAAGAAGACGGAAGCGACACGCTGGAGCTTCAAGCGGCCTGCTGCGAGCTATGGCGCTCGAGGATTGGGAGCTGACACGCTGGTGGCGAGAAGGAACTTGTCCTACCAGACGCGTTCAGCTCATAGGGTGGAGATGACCATGTACAAACGAAAATAGATTGCCAATCGACACGAACTCTCCTACGTTGAGCAGCGCGGGCAAACCAACTAAAGTCTGGTCAAGTATCACTGGCTCTGCGTGCTTGGGAGGGCTGGCTCAATTGTGTAGAGCAAGAGGGTCGACACACTAGTTCTGAAAGAGCAGAGAATCTTGCAGAGACCTCTCACCAGAGCCCGAGGTCTCGCTCTTAGGTTGGAGGCCATCGCTATTAGGATCCATTAGGAACCAAATGTCGTATGTTACAGCTTCTTGTTTTTAGTAGTAAGGCCAGGAGCCCCGAGTAGCGTCCTTGCTCCTAGTAGCGATGCCAGGAGCCCCTAGTAGCTTCTTGTTACATCGCTTCTTGTTACATGATGTCACATGATGTTGGAGGCCCCGGGTGCTTTGAGCCAGAGCCCGATGAGTTTGTCCTAACCCCCCGACAGCGAGACTCTCCAAGATCCGATGGATTTGCAACTTGGCCACGCTTCGTCGGTTTCGAAAGTCTGGCATCTTAGCCGGTTCGCGGACCTTGTGATTTCAGTTCTGAAGGGTCTATACATTGGATGTTCTTGGCACCCTTTGGCGGGGCAGATTGTGCGATGAGGCCATTGAGGCTGAGTTTGCTGACTGGCGGCCAAGTTCACCTTCAAGCAGGGGAGGCCAAGGCCACGATGGCGCAGCCGACGTTGGCGGTCGGGGGGGCCACGATCTGGAACAAGATCATCAGGAATCATCATAGATTTGGATCATATACTGCATATAATCACGTCCAGACTGCTGAGTTGAGGGGCAACCCGGTGGCGCGGCCCACTAGTCATTAGCTCACACTCGCTTCAGGAAGAGTTTATGATTTGGCCAGTGGTGAGGGGAATGAAGTCCACAAGTGCTACCAGTTGGAGGAAGAGGAGCGCCTTAGATGAAACATTGGCTGTGGCTGCAGGTCGGCCCTGTGAGCAGCGTTCTTTTGACTAGCTTGCAGGTCTATGTTTTGAGCTGCCGCGTGAGTGAGAGCCTGTCATTTTGAGCTTTCTGAGAATGTGGGGCACACCTTGATGGTACAACAATTCCCATTACTGTAGGTCCAGAAAAGGCAAGCCAACAAACCCGAACACGCAACACTCATCCAAGGAATGCTTACTTGTCGGCTGTGCAGCTTCTCAAAGAGATGGGCCCTGGACGTGCAGAGGACCGTTTGATTCTTCGAATGAACAGCAACACTCCCACCATGCTCATTGTGGCGGAGAAAACTAGCAGTGGTAAACACACACACACACACATATATATATAATATACACATATCTCTCTCTATATGCTTAAAGATTTAACATAACTAATTTCTTTGACATGATCTGTCACATGCAGAACAGCCTGTCGCACTGTCACACGCGGAGAGGCAGAAGTAGTGTGGAAGACTTGCGTGCTGCGTCGCTTGTCAGATTCGATAAAGCAGGGGGTTTCCAACCTTCTTTCTGCAGGATCCTGAACACACATAACACATGTAAACCTCAAGTTTGACGTGCGAGCTAAGGTGAGAAGCTCCGCTTGGCACGGTCTGTGGCCCGCACTCCTGCTCGCAGTCAAGTATCCCGGCAGGCTGGGCCGAAGGTGCACGGCGCAATTAGGGGGTGAGTGCTTGTTGCAAACTGGCCCCCAGCCCACACGGGCTCTGTCGGTTCTTCTACTCCAAACAACGTCTCGGTCCTATTCACTGAAGCAGATTTATGTTCTGCGTGCTTGGTGCAGAACTCCGATGATACCGGCGACACCAGCTACATTTTGGAAGAGGCACAGGCCGAGGATATTGAAGTTTGCCTGGGCCTAAATCGAACCAGACAGCTGAGCAGTGACTGCTGGACAACTCTTCGACGTTCCGAAAGAGAGAGAGAGAGAGAGGGAGAGAGAGAGAGAGAGGGAGGGGGAAGAAAGAAAGAAAGAACGACAGAAAGAAAGACATCCAGAAAGACAGAAAGAAAGATACATCCAGTAAGACGGAAAGACAGAAAGACAGAAAGAAAGAAACAAAGACCGAAAGACAGAAAGAAAGACAAAACGAAAAAATACAGAAAGAAAGAAAGACATAAAGAAAGACAGAAAGACAGAAAGAAAGACAGACAAAGAGAAAGACATACAGACAGAAATAAAGACAGAAAGACAGAAAGAAATACATAAATAATATGGTTTTCGGTTCTTTTCCGAAGCTCTTCAATGCACCCCTTTCTGTCTTTCTGTCTTTGTTTCTGTCTGCATTTCTTTCCCTCTTTCTGTCTTTATTTATGTATTTTTTTTTCTTTTTGTCTTTCTTGTGGCAGCAAGAGAACCACCCTCTCAGCTCAGCGATACCTCAAGAACTGCCGTTTCTTAGGTCCTGAGAACTGGCCTGAGGAGTCCTTCCGGCCTTTGGCAACAGATTTTGCGTTCAACTTTGCGGAGCTCGATGCTGCGGAGAAGGAGATGAAGGTCACCAGTGACAAGCAAGCATTTGCAACAAGCACATGGGAGACACAGGCAAAACCATGCAAGCACGGCAATCTAGCTTCATGCTCATCTTTCATAGCTTCGACTGCCGTATCAAAACTGTCAGGCTGACGTCAGAAACCTGCTGCATAGTGTGCTGATGAGCTGGCGCCAGTCCATCCATCCCCAGTCGCAGAAAGTGACTGGGTGATCGACACAAAAGGCGAGAAGCCAAAGTGCAGATAGCTCAGCTAGCGCTGGCACACAGCAAAGGTCAAGTGATTGAGCAGAATACTAGATACTCCCGGTCACAATTACCAATAGGAAAAGCACATTATTTTTGCTCAAGGTGCACCTATTCCACACGTCCATTTAATATGAGAACGGCTGGGCCTAGGTCAGTGACCGGATTGTTAGGTAGTGCTAAGGATTCAGGGACTTGACTAAAATCACTGGAGCAGATCGAGAGAGTGGCCGGTGATCCACGAGTTTGCTGACAAGGGTGCCAAGATGTCGTTATTTTCCAGAGGTATTGAAGTCGGCCTCTCCCTTCAGGGCGACATAGCCCGACGCCCTTGACAGAATTTTCACATCTTTCAGACTGCCAGTCCTAGCGGCATGTTTTTGGGGCTGGGCACAGGCCACCCCGCGGGTGCAACCTTTTGCTGGACAGGTGCACTTTCCAAATCGGTGTCTCCTCTCCGGAATTGTGCAGGGTGCGTGGCTGTACAATGCAATGTTCAAGCAAAGGCCCAACGCTGACTTTCACAACAACTGACACATGCAAATTAAACTCAGAGCCCATGAGAAGCACCGAAAGGGAGGAAGGGAGCAACTGAGCCCTCCTTCCATAGAGAGGATGTGCTTGGTGAGAAGTGGAATTGTACAGGTCCATCTGGCAGGCCAAGACCCCCACAGCTTGCTGAAAAAAGGTTCTTGCACTGATTGCTTGTCAGCCTATCATGACTTCAGAGCCCCCTGCGCTTCAGGATAGTCTTGAATTTCTTGCGGGTCGAAGGCGGGTTTGCGTTTTGCTGTGCCAGTGAGACGGAAAAAATGACCATGCTCGATCATCGATCCAAACTCAGAATTAGTCCAGCCTTCTGCGAAGACACAGGTAGCTTAACGCCAAATCGTCGCAGGTCATCAGCGACAATGACGCCTGAGAAGTTTGAAACCTGAACAGGTCTCAAGCGTCCGAGGTCCTGCGAGCCCAGGCGCCGCCTGGGCAATCTACCTGTAGTTGCCCATTCAAAAAGCAGGGGCTGTGCGTTGTGGGGCCTTTTTGCGAATCAAAGGCTAGCCAGTTTTCGTCCTTTGCTTCCTGTCTCTGTCCCCCCCCCTCTCTCTCTCTCTCTTTGTCTCTGTCTCTCTTTCTAATTGTTTGCCAGTCCTCGTTCGTCGCTATCCGTTATATTAGATCCGTGCCACCTTTTTTCTTGTGTGTTTTGAGGCAAGATCTGGACCATGGTCACTTGAAAGAATAGTTCGGCGGGTTTCTCGTGGCTCCAGTTCGGTGCCAGGAGGTCCAAACCAAGCAAGCAAGCAAGCAAGCAAGCAAGCACTTGGGAACTGAAAAAGGTTTAGGATTGTAACAAGAAGACAAGAACATCCCAGCAAGACAATAAGAAACAGACAATAGCATCACGTGCAGCAAGACAATAACATCGCAAGCTTTGATAAGACACAGCATCAACTTCACACATTGCAGTATCCAGCAGTGTCATTCTAGCAATGGCGATCGTTGAGAAGGCAACCCCTGGCAAGACTGCCACAGTTTTTGTCGAGTTCCCAGCTCGAATTGCCGCGCGACTCCAAACTCAGAGTCGTAATGTAACCCGCCGCAAGTTGAGGTTGGCAACATTCCTTATGACGCCACCGAAGATGCAGGGTCCTGAGCATGTTGCAGGGGATCGTCCACTTGCAATACCTTTCCATCCAAAGAAAGTCAGGACGTGCGGGGACATCTTGCACAGGGTGGCAAGGCAAGGTCCAGTCATACGGGGAAGACATCTTCATTCCGACGGCCGGTCGCAACAGGTGGAGTCTTTCAGAATGGTGTTCGACAAGGACCTAAACATGACCTGTCATGCTATTGCTGACTTGATCCCATATGCCAGGAGACCCTCCAGCCGAAAGGCTATGGCTTCTGCGACTTCTCGGACTGTGAGAGAAACTCCATGAAGCTTTTGTGTGAGTTTATTGGAGCCTGGAATTGTGTGGACCCTGTTCACGAGTCTCCGCCACAAGCACCGCACATAGGACCCAGATACGGCAATAAAGGCCATCAAAATCCTTAGTGAGAAGGAGTGCAACGGCGAAGCCCTCAGCATATTGGTGAAGTAGTTGTTGGGCGACAAGTGAGGGAGAATCATGTTTGTAGAACTCAGACACACAATGTATGCATCCACCAGGCAAGGCTTGAGTTTCAACTGGAGTGTGGATCCAATCCGGTGCCAGAACATGGACATGCTGGTTGTCCAAGGCGACTAAACGTAGCTGCTTAGCAGGCCCAAGCTTTAGTGCTACATGATCCCATCATTGACGAATCCTGGCCTACACTGGCTTCCAAAGTCACTTGCTAGCCGAGGCACACACACAGACACAGAGTGATCAGTTTGCAAGGGGGAGAGGCCACGTGGCTTTCAAATTTGGAGCCCTTATATAACCCTACAGTAGAGATCTCTGTGCTAAAAACCCATGAAGACCCCTCCTTGAACATGTAGAGTAGAGTTGATTTGGATCTCTTTCTTTCTGAATGTGATCATGAAGAAGTTAACGGCAATGGATGTGAACAGAGGGTAGGATGACAGAGGCAGCATTGCCACTGTCCATTCGGGAGCCCACTGGGCCTTTGCAACGCTGCAGGGTCAAGCAGGTCATAATCCTTGCAGCCACCTTTACCGCTGGCTTTGCTTGTGGCTTTTCGGCTGCGAATCCGAAACTAAGCACCCCGACTGCATCGTCACTGTGGCTTCCAAGGCCCTGCGGTCCAGATGATGCGACAACAACGTCTACGGAGTCCCCGAAGCTGGAAATCACACCGCACGCCTGGCACGCCTCATCCTCCTTGCCCCATAGTACTACCTCTACCCATTCCACCACTCGGGCGAAGATGGGATCAACATCAACCACACTCCCTTCAAGTGAAACGATCATCGTCAAGGTGTTCGCGGGTGGAAATGGGAGACTGGGCAACAACATTGGCCAACTCTTGCACGGCTTAGCTTTTGCAAGGCGCATTCATGCAGACAAGGTGCAGCTTGTTGCCTCTGGTGGCCAGTTGCCTCAAGTCATGGAATTGAAGCTTGGCTTCACAATTGTTTTCCCCTCCCCAAAAAGCCAAGAAGTTGCACTGCTTGCAGAAGATGAGACCACTAAGGAAAGATTTATCATTAGATCTCCCAGATGCTGGAACGCTGCGGGGCGTTATCCCCAAGGAATGCAATGAAGCTGCGCAGGCGGCACGGATGAACAAAGAGCCTAACACCTATGCCAGTGGCTTTTGGACCACTCGTTGCTCAGGTGTTCCTGGGAGTGAGTATCACGACCTGGCTTTCCAGTACATTTGGCCGCTGCTGAAAAGCGAGGTGAAAGAGTGTGTTGAGAAACCGGATGACGCAGCCGAAAAACGGCTCACTGTACATTTGCGTGGCCAAGACCTCTGGAACATGGGCGAGTTTGATCAAGTTGCCAAAAAGCCGATCAATATGTCGGCTGGAGCGCACCACTGGCTATGGAACAATCCCCCATGTACGATGTATGAGAAGATCATCCAGGAGGATGGATACTCCGATGTGCTTGTAGTTACATCGCAGGATCGACGCCATGCATGCGTTTCTTGGTTTGAGGAGCTGCCTCGTCGGACAGGACTCAAGGTCAATGTGACCTTTCAGACAAGTTCGCTAGCAGAGGACTTTTGTGCCCTGGTGAAGTCCAGAAATATGGTAGTGTCTTTCTCAACCTTGTCTAATGCAGCTGCGGTGCTGAGCAAGAATCTGAAACGCATATATGTTCGGAACTTTGCGCAAAACTCCATGTTGAACTGTCAATTGTGGCCCACGGTGTCCATTATGCAGTACTACATGCCAAGCACTGAGCAGCACCATGAACCCTACAACAACACCTATGCAGGCGTGATTGAGTGGTTTCAAACCTACAATGTCAGTCTGATTGCGAGAAGAACTTCCTGCAAATGAGAGAAAAAGGCTCCGGAATGCACAGGGTACTCGTGGGAGGGCACTCTGATAGACGGGACACGATTGAGGACGCAAACGGCCTGCCAAACTAGAAACCTGCCACGTGTCTCATGCCGACTCAAGCCTCATGGCACCCTTGATGCTCTTGATATATCAGAATTTGTTGGGGGTGGCGGCGGCGTGATAGTCTAAAACTGGAAGGCAGCCCATCTTCATTCGATTTGGCAGTGTTACGCGTGACATGCCGTTTGGCTGGGGGTGTCTCGTTGCGGTGTGTGAGGCCGGAAGCTCCGGCTCGATCTGGCTGACAATGCGTTGACCTCGGTGAAGCCACGCTGTAAGGGATCGGAAGGTGGAACTCAAGAGCCTGTCTTTGGAGCCCGAGCAGGTGACAAGCCTGTAGCGCTGACAGTTTTGAACAGAATGTGCGGTAGATTTGGACTCAAGGAACTGCGAGGAGGAGCACCAGCCAGGGGTGCCAGGCCCTTCCAAACTTATGCACAGCTTGCAGCTTGAAACGTGCGGGATTTTGCAGGATCGTCGTTCTGACTAGGAGCAAAGGGCATCGCTACTAGGAACAAGGACGCTACTAGGAGCAAGTGCATCGCTTCTAGTAACAAGTGCCTTACTAGTAGCAACAAGAAGCTACTAGGGGCTCCTGGCCTTACTACTAGGAACAAGAACGCTACTAGGAGCAAAGGGCATCGGTAGGTCATGCAATGACATGAATGTGAGTCGTAGCAGGCCAGCATCCGGTTCCACAGCGCTTGGTGGCCCAAATGTGCAGATACGAAGTCAGAAGGAGCCCCTAGTAGCTTCTTGTTCCTAGTAGCGATGCCAGGAGCCCCTAGTAGCTTCTTGTTCCTAATAGTAAGGACTGCTACAATTAGGCTTTATAAAAGGATTGAGATGGCATGTAAATTTGCAGGAGAAGTGGCCGACTTGCATGAGTCAAAATCTGTCAAGTCCGTGCCCAGGTTGGCGGTGCCCGGTGAGACTGCTCCACGGCCTCGGATGCCGCAAGCCCCTCCAGCCCCTTGGATGGGTTGGCACTTGACTCTTCGTCGTCAGTGGGAAGCACTAATCGCAGGTCGTGCAAGGAGGTGCCACGAGGAAACATGATCCATGGGCCATGGGCCATAAGTGTTCATGGGTCTTTGGACAGTTCCTGCGATTTGAGGCACCAATCAAAACAAGCGGCACCACGGCAGGCAGTGGCGTGGTCACGCCAGGTGCATCCCCGCTTGCCAGCAGCTGTACGGGGGGCCATTTGGTGATTCTTGTCACTTCTGTCATTTTTTCCTGGGCTTGCATGCAGCACTTGGGGCACGCAGGGGTCTTTGGCTCAATGGAATTTGACTGTGTCAACAGCGCAGTTCCACACAGCTGTTCATACAACTGTGCAGAACTATATAGATGGCTGAGGGCAAAGTCTTACTGAAACTCCAATGTTCTTGGGGACCTAGTGCAGTTCAGTCTACTCCACAGTGATCGCGGGCATCAATGGGCAGCCACCATGACAAGCAGGCTGGGTACCGGTGATGGCATAGGGATCAACAAATAAAGAAACACATAGAAAAACACAATAACCACCCAATCAACAGAACAAACAACATAATTGCCTAATCAGCTGGTCCCTTGGTCCCCTGGCCTTTGGTCCCCTGGTCCCTTGGTCCCTTAGTCCGCTGGTCCGCTCTATGCTCCCTTGGTCTGGTGCGGTCACCTGGTAGGGAGGCGAGGAGGCGACGGCGATGTCTCAGAGGAGTGTTTCGAACTGCGGCAAAGAGAGGAGGGAGGTGCCATTCCAACGTAATATACTTTGGTGAGCGCCCTGAGGGTACAATTTAATGTGGAAGGTGTCATTCCACGGTAGCACACCTTTTGTGAAAAAAAGTGCTTCAGAGAAGAAAGGGGCCATTGCCATGTAGCATACTTTTTGTGAGCAATCCGAGCGCACAATTGAGAGGAGAAAGACGGCACATACCTTTTGTGAGCTCCCTAACATTTAGAGGAGGAAGGTGCCACATACCTTTTGTGAGGCGCCCTAGCGGAAAACTTGGAGGAGGAAACAGCAATTCCAAGGTAGCTTTCCGTTTGTGAGCCACCCGAGGGCAAAAACTAGAAGAGGAAGGGGCCATTCCGATGTAGCATACCTTTTGTGAGCCGCCCGCGCTTAAAATATAGAGGTGGACGCTACCATCCCAATGTAGCAAAGCATACCGTGTACGGCTACTACTTCTACTTCTACTACTACTACTACTACTACTAACTACTACTACTACTACTATTAATTACTATTGCCTCTTATTCTGCTACTCTTGCTGCTGCAACTGCCCCTAGAACCACTACCACTACTCCTATTCCTACTGCTACTGCTGCTGCTGCTACTGCTACTGCTACTGCTACGACTACTGCCAACTGTAACTGCTACTGCTACTGCTGCTGCTGCTGCTACTCCTGCTGCTACGGCTGCTGCTGCTGCTAAGACGTCGACTACGACTGCGACTGCTATAGGGAACACATTTTTTGATTCTTTGTTTTTTTTTCTTGACGCGCGGGAATTCCTTTTGACTTGTTATATTATTGTTTTGTTTTTATAGCTCACCCTGCCGGTGGTCAGCAGGCTGGTCATGTCAGATCACACCTGGCCCTCTTCATGTGAGCTGTTCAAAAATTGTTCCCTCGTAGCCCACCTAGAGAGGGAGGGTTTTCTAGGTTCTGATCGTAAGTCATGTGGGGCAGGCAGTCGGCCAGAAAAAAAACCGTTGCAGTTCCGAGGGCCACCTTTGTGCCGGAGATGGTTTGCCTGGAACATAATTGGATTTAGCTCAGGACGTGGGAAGAATAAGGGAGGCATGCCACCCATCCAACGAATAAAAGACAAATTGATATCTTGCACTCAGGTGTGTCTGTGAGAGAGAGAGAGTGGTGCAGTAGACATTTCAACATCAGTACAGTACAGTACATGTTAATATATGTTTCGTTACTTGGAGGGCCATTTGGCTCAAGGCTCCAGCTCAGAGCTCTCAGCTGAAAAACGAAGAGATGGCCTCCTTCATGGAGGGCACATCGGAGGAAAAGATGCCGTTACTGGAAGAAGGAAAAGCAGACGCTGCAAACGAGGCAGCAAAGGAAAATGAGGAGGTTGCAGAGGTGGGGCCAAGAGCATGGAATCAACTATGTACTGTAAGAGTTTTACAGTTTTCTAAAGCATGACATATGAATAGTGGCATGCCACAGCGGCACATGGGACTTTGCTGATGCGCGGGTTTGTTGAGGCAGATTCCATGAGCTATGATGCTCGGACCTTGGTAACCTTCAAGGTCTTCAGCAATCTGGCTGGCACTGTTTGGACGAAAGCATCCCTGTGGAAAATGATGGGGACTCTTCTCCTGATTGCCTTGACTGTGGCGGCCTGTATCGCCGTCTCTTGGCTTGAAAGTTGAAGCACAAGGGCACGGCAAACTAACTGAAGCACAGCCAAGACCGTTGGCGGCTTTGGCCTTCAGGTGATGGTGAAGGATCCTGCCAAGCTCAATGTGGCGAGGTTCCAGCGCATCAGCAGTTTCTTGGAAGTTGTCGTGGGCCTGCTTCTCGGTTTCTTCCTGTCCAGTTCTATGCAAAGGCCTTGGATTGAAAAGCTTGAAATGCCGACGGGGCGCTATATATATATATACACATGTATAACTAGGATGAAACTGCTTGAGGGAAGCAGTTCAGTCTTTTGGTGACATTGGAGATCTTACGCTTCTTCATCGGAGTTTTACGGTGCAGGTGGTACAGCTGCACGAATGGTTTCTTGGAACTCTTTGATGCCATCCGCGGCTTGCACATGCAGTTGAATGCGATGGGTGTATCTAAGGCACCTAGCCTTTGTCAGTTTAGCTGTGCAGGTGGAAACAGAATCTGAGCAAGAGAGGAATTGAGTACATCAAAATAGCATAAAATAGCCTTGGTTTGGCAGATGCTCAATTGTTGAGGAGAAGGTCCAGCTTTGCTTGCGCTACTGTGTGGTGCCGCTTGCTTGTATGAACCTGCCGGACGGGAACACATATTTGCAGAACCAAAGGGTTGCACGAAGTCTTCCGCTGTTTGTTGGTGCCTATGGTCTTGGTTTGTAGGCATTTGTGATTTGATGTGGGCACCTGCTGGGGTAAGGTCTGCGCATTGCTTGAATCATGATCTCACGGCCTCGCCTATGACACCTGAAGATGCTGCGGAGTACCTTGCAAGCTGCTGGGCAGATTTGACGGTGGAGAAAGAGGCTGAAACTCGGAGTGCACATGTTGTGATCCATCAATGGGTTCGCTCACTGAGAGTGCTAAGAATCAAACATTCTGAGACAATTTTTGCTGCAAGGACATCGCATGGGAGGACAAATCAACGAGCATGGCTCGACTTCTGCCTGGCGAGACCGACGTCCTCAAAAACATTGTTGATCCAGCACAGACACTTTGGGTGTGGATCACTTCACTTCTTACGAGAATGTCGGCAGATGGTGAGATTCCACCCATGCCAACTCCCACCTACGGCCGAATCATCAGCATGGCTGAGCAAGCCTATGTTGGAATTCGTGCAGTTCGAGCATCCATCCGCGTCCAGCCTCCTTATGTTCATGTGCAAATGATGGCAGCTTTGGTGCTTGTAACTTTGGCCGCACTCCAAGACAGGAGGCAAAGTTAACTTTGACGTACTTTGATCCTGGTTTTTCAACATTATCCGTTTGAGAGGGTGTTTGTGTTGCGAGGTGAACAATATTGTAAATGCGATCAGTATTGGCCTGACTTCCGGCGTCACCCTAAGCTTGGTCTTGGCACGGGCTGAAGTGGGCTTTTTCAAAAGCAAGGTGCAATCAGAGGATCTTTCTCATGGACTTCAGGCGCTCAGTGTGGGAACAAAATGTCCGTTTGTGTTCATTTTTGTGTTTGTGAGTAGGGAAAACGTGCCGTAACATGCTACGTACAAGCCCGCCATAAGCGCAAATTGAATGGCCAATCATGACCAAGACCCGATTCAGGACTTGGCCGTGGGCATGATCTTGTGCAGTGTTGGGCCATTCCTGTACCAGGCGCTCCTGGAAGTAGCAGTGTGCATCGCACAGCCCTTCGCCATTGCGGGGAAAGGTGTTGCCCCCGGGCGCATCCCCACGGAGAAGTTGCTGCAGCATCTGGAGAAGGATCTCAAAGACATCGAGTTCATGAGCACTAACTTGCCATGGTGGAACCAAGCGTACTTCAAGAACAAATGAGAGCCATGGCATGTCACAGTTGCGATTCCGCAATCGAGTGCGCTTGGAAAAAAGGGAGGACAGCATTCTGCTGACCGGCTTCACTTGACAGGGCCTTGGACATTTGCTTTCTGCCAATGTTTTTGTTCTCGAGTTCCTTTGTGCCTGCAATGTGGCAGGACACGCATCGGTGGACGGGTCAATCAGGCAGCTTGATTTTTCTTGCCGAAATCTGTCTACCTGGCTGGCTGGTCAAGTGACTTAGGCTGGCTCAGGTCTTTCATGGTCTTTCGGTGGGTGCTTACTGGTGTCAAACTAGAATCGTTCTGTAGTGGTTATTGACACAGTTGTAAGAACCTCCGGGGGGGGGCAGGGCGGAGTACAAATGTTAAATACATGCTGCGAGATGCTGACCATTGTGGGGCTCAAACCAGATGTGCGGGTGTGCGGCAAGGGCCTGGGTAGCCTTTGCGGTGGGAAGGAGCGCTCGATGCTGCTGACGCAAGTAGCTCAGCTGCATGTGCGCCACATGTTTGACTTGTCTGACGGCTGGGTAACCAGTGTTGTCCAAACTTGATTTCAAACAGTTTCTTGTGCTGTACAGGATCCATGACAGTGGCAAACGTGTAATGCCGCATGGTTTTCCGTTGGCTTTGAGGTGAACAATTGGTCAATGGAATCGCCGAGGCTATCTCAAGTTGTCAATTTTTTGCAGTTTCCAATTTTTTATTTGATGCCAGTTCTTCTTGCCTAATAAAATAGATTTTACATGATTTTACATGGATGAACAAAGAAAAAACTCGAAGAGCTGAGTTGAAGAACCTCAACTGTTCACATGCAGTTCACCTTACAAAGACAAAAGGTGAAGGATCAATCCAGAAGGTCATAACATTGAAACATTTGGTCATCCCATGTAGAAGATCCATGAATAACTTTACTCAATTAGCCATTGATCAATGCATCAAATCACCATTATATAGTCACCACCGTTGTTTCCTGCTGGTTCTTGCTGGACGCTCCGCGAGACACCACCGCACAAAGAAAATGAGAGTCAGCTAAATGGCTGGGATCGATGGGCCGCCGTGGGCGCTGCCGTGACAAGCAGGTTGGGTCGCTCAGGATGTTTTTTGAAGACCAGGTACACAAATTGTTTGGGTTGAAACATGTTGAACGCGGGTGGGAAAGCATGAAAGCATGTCCGGTGTGCTTGGAGGCCATCGCTATTAGGTGGAGGCCATTGCTATTAGGTTCCTCAACGTTTTTAAAGGTTTCTTTCAATGTGGCCAAGTGGGAAGGCGCAGAAGCAATGGTTGTCAGAGAAGCGGCGTTTCTCGGCATCGTTTCAACACAGGAACCTGCTTTCTTGGACTTTCTTGGTAATTGTTGGTGGTGTTTTTTCACTTCCAAATGTTGGTGGTCAACCGCTTGCCGGCCGAGGTGGAGCAGGTGGAGCAGATGCTGAAGAGGCTGAATGAATAGGTTGACAGAAAGCTGTACTTTGTTGTTGATTTGATCAATGGAAGGTGATAGTTTCATGGTTACAGTAATGACCCTTTGAATGAAAGCCAATTGCAAACAGTCAGCTTTCTAGCAAAGAAGGTGCGGCCCCGTCCTTTGGCAGCTGAAGAAGACTTCCAAAGCCTTTTGACTGAATGGTTTCGATAGATAGAATGATTCCACACATAGAAAAGTCCAGAGCGACCATGCAGATAGTTCTAAAATCTTTGGTTGCTACGCTGCCCAAGGTTATTATGACTCACAAGGATTCTTCGGTCATGGTCCACACTCCGCAGAGGAACAGGCAGCTCGGAGATTTGCATTCGTGACAGGGCCTTTCGATTTCTTCACTGCCAGGCAGCCTTTTGGGAAGCTTTGCGTTCTCCCTTGCCAGTCACTTTGCTAGCTGCTGAGCTTGCAAGCGGGCTTTGGGGCAAACACTTGAAGTGGGCTAAAGGCAAACAACTCGCTACTAGGAACGAAGCGAGGGCATCGCAACTAGGAGCAAGGACGCTACTAGTAGCTCCTGGCATTTCTACTAGCAACAAGAACGCTACTAGGGGCTCCTGGCCTTACTACTAGGAACAAGAAGCCACTATATAGTAACAAAGGGCGTTTCTACCAGCAACAAGAACGCTACTAGGGCTCCTGACCGTACTACTAGGAACAAGAAGCTACTAGTAATAAAGGGCATTTCTACTAGCAACAAGAACGCTACTAGGGGCTCCTGGCCATACTACTAGGAACAAGAAGCTACTAGTAACAAAGGGCATTTCTACTAGCAACAAGAATGCTACTAGGGGCTCCTGGCCTTGCTACTAGGAACAGGAAGCTACTAGTAACAAAGGGCGTTTCTACTAGCAACAAGAACGCTACTAGGGGCTCCTGGCCGTACTACTAGGAACAAGAAGCTACTAGTAACAAAGGGCACTTCTACTAGCAACAAGGACGCTACAAGGGGCTCCTGGCCTTACTACTAGGAACAAGAAGCTTCTTCATACTATATTGTAGCAAAGGGCATCGCTACTAGGAGCAAGGGCGCTACTGGTAGCTCCTGGCATTTCTACTAGCAACAAGAATGCTACTAGCGGGCCCTGGAACATTTCTACTAGCAACAAGGGTGCTACTAGGGGCTCCTGGCCCTACTACTAGGAACAAGAAGCTACTAGTAACAAAGAGCATTTCTACTAGCACCAAGGAAGCTACTAGGGGCTCCTGGCTTCACCACTGGGAACAAGAAGCTACTAGTAACAAAGGGCGCTTCTACTAGCAACAAGGAAGCTACTAGGGGCTCCTGGCCATACACTAGGAACAAGAAGCTACCAGTAACAAAGGGCACTTGTACTAGCAACAAGGATGCTACTAGGGGCCCCTGGCCTTACTACTAGGAACAACAAGCTACTAGTAACAAAGGGCATCGCTACTAGGAGCAAGGACGCTACTAGTAGCTCCTTGGCACTTCTACTAGCAACAAGAACGCTACTAGGGGCTCCTGGCTCTAGACTCTACTACTAGGAACAAGAAGCTACTAGTAACAAAAGGCATTTCTACTAGCGACAAGAACGCTACTAGGGGCTCCTGGCCTTGCTACTACTAGGAACAAGAAGCTACTAGCAACAATGGGCATTTCCACTCGCAACAAGGACGCTACAAGGGGCTCCTGGCCCTACTACTAGGAACAAGAAGCTGCTAGTAACAATGGGCATTTCTACTAGCAACAAGAACGCTACTAGGGGCTCCTGGCCTTACTACTAGGAACAAGAAGCTACTAGTAACAAAGAGCATTTCTACTAGCAGCAAGGACGCTGCTAGGGGCTCCTGGCCTCACTACAAGGAGCAACAAGCTACTAGTAAAAAAGGGCATCGCTACTAGGAGCAAGGACGCTACTAGTAGCTCCTGGCACTTGTACTAGCAACAAGTAGGAACAAGAAGCTACCAACCAATACTCGTAACAAATGGCATCGCTACTAGGAGCAAGGACGCTACTAGGGGCTCCTGGCCCTGCTACTAGGAACAAGAAGCTACTACTAACAAAGGGCAGTTCTACTAGCAACAAGAACGCTACCAGGGGCTTCTGGCCATATTAATAGGAAGAAGAAGCTATTAATTCTAGTAACAAATGGCATCGCTACTAGGAGCAAGGACGCTACTAGGGGCTCCT